ACACAGTGGGGAAAATAATTATTTGATCCCCTGCAAATTTTGTACGTTTCCCACTTACAAAGAAATTAAGGGTCTATAATTTTTATCAGAAGTGTATTTCCACTGTAGTTCTGGGCTGATCCCTCACTTTTCTTATGATCATCCTTGCTCCATGAGGCAAAATCTTGTATGGAGCTCCAGACATGAGAATGATTGATGGTTATTTTGTATTTCTTCCATTTGTGAATAATCTCCCCAGGAGTTGTCTCCTTCTCGCTAATCTTCTTGCTGATGGTCTTGTAGCCTATTCCAGCCTTGTGCAGGTCTACAATCTTGTCCTTGACGTCCTTTGAAGGCTTCTTGGTCTTGCCCATGGGGGTGAGGTTTGAATGGAAGCAAGAGATTCTGTGGACAGGTGTCTTTTCTACACATAACAAGTAGAGATGAGCGAATCGAACTTGGCGAAGTGGAATTCGTTTCGAAGATTAGGAAAAATTCGATTCGCGCCGAATCCGAAAATTAGCAAACTTCGGATGCGCGAATCGAAATTTTCCAAAAATGGCGGCGACATGTGTGGCGACGGAGCGGGGATCTCTGGGAAAGCGCGCAGACAAGGCGCGCTGACCCATAATGCATTCATTCATGACATGTGATCGCATTAGCCAATCAGCAGCCAGCACTGTGTAATGGTCGAGCTATAAATTGTGGCCATCTTAGAATTCTCCATTAGCCTCCAGTCATTCAAGAGAGACAGACCTCTCTGTATTAGGGACAGAGTTAGGGCCAAAGAGACTTTAGGGCCACAGAATCGTTACTGAGGACACAGAATTGTTACTGAGGGACAGACACAGAATTGTTACTCAGGGACACAGAATTGTTACTCAGGGACACAGACAGAACAGAAACTGTTACTCAGGGACAGACAGAATTGTTACTGTTACTGGGGACACAGACAGACACAGAATTGTTACTGAGGGACACAGAATTGTTACTGAGGGACAGACACAGAATTGTTACTGAGGGACACAGAATGGGACACAGAACTTATAGGGACGTTAGGGACCAGACACTCAGAATTGTTACTCAGGGACACAGAATTGTTACTGAGGGACAGACACAGAATTGTTACTGAGGGACACAGAATTGTTACTTGTTACTGAGGGACACAGAATTGTTACTGAGGGGACACAGAATTGTTACTGAGGGACACAGACACAGAATTGTTACTCAGGGACAGACACAGAATTGTTACTGAGGGACACAGAATTGTTTACTGAGGGACACAGAATTGTTACTCAGGGACACAGAATTGTTACTCAGGGACACAGAATGTTACTCAGGGACACAGAATTGTTACTGAGGGACATCAGAATTGTTACTGAGGGAACAGAATACTCAGGGACACAGAATTGTTACTCAGGGACTGCAGGGTCACAGAATTGTTACTTGTTACTCAGGGACACAGAATTGTTACTCCAGGGACAGACACAGAATTGTTACTGAGGGACACAGAATTGTTACTGAGGGACACAGAATTTACTCAGGGACAGACACAGAATGTTACTCAGGGACACAGAATTGTTAGGGACTTGTTACAGGGACAGACACAGAACAGAACTTGTTACTCAGGGACACAGACACAGAATTGTTACTCAGGGACACAGAATTGTTACTCAGGGACACAGAATCGTTACTGAGGGACACAGAATTGTTACTCAGAATCGTTACTCAGGGACACAGAATCGTTACTCAGGGACACAGAATCGTTACTCAGGGAAACAGAATCGTTGAATTAAAGAGTATGTCAGACAACACGCAGAGGAGTGGCAGAGGAGGCAATGTTTCAGGAGCGAGCAGACGTGGCAGCAGAGGGAGGGGTCGAGGCAGCACTAGTCGCAGCCAGAGGCCAGTGCTCCCGTGTCATCCAGCGGTCGTGTCTCCACCGACAACCCTGCCGTCATCGATTGGTTGGCTCGGTCGTCTTCCTCTTCCCAGGTCACCTCTGACACTACAGCCAACGGTCGGTGGGTACGTCAGACACAACCGTTAGTTGGCATGGCCCGGGAGCAAGCCCACTGAAATCACGTGTCCTCTACCTGCCCCTGTCCTTTGGTGTTCCCTCACCAAGGAAGTATCGCATGCTGTGGGCTCTGCCCCACTGTACAGTGAGGAAGAGCTAACAGAGGGCGGTCAGGAACGGGGAGAGACATCCGCCTCTTCAGCAGCCAGGCGAAGAAGTACTGGCGAGGAGAGTGGCTCGGTAGCCGGTCTAGAGACAGGTCTGTCTCCTGACCCACACGCAGCCGAGGGGGCTAGTAGTGAGGCGGAGACCCTAATTGATGATGATGAGGCTGATCGCACTTGGCAGCCTCGTCGTCATCAGGCTATTGCTTCCGCATCATCAGGAGAAGAGGGTGCCAGCTTGGCAGCGAGCAAAACAGTCGGTGGGTTGCCCAGGAGGCAGCAGGGTCGCAGCAGTGTCAGTGGAGGCAAACGGCCACGGAGTAGTAGCACCAGCTCCACTGCAGCCTACCACCACGGCCAGTAGTGGTGCCGGTGTGCACGGAGGAAGTAGCAGTCAGCCAGTGAGGAGTAGCGGGGGCAAAGTTTCCTACTCGGCGGTGTGGCAATTTTTCGTCAAGCCGCCCGAGGAAGTAAACGTAGCCGTATGTCGACTATGTGGCCAGAAAGTCAAGCGTGGCCAGGGGGCCCATGTCTCCATCGCCACACTCTGCCATGTGCCACTTTCAGGTCTCCTCACACTGCTGGTGGGTTCCATTTTGTCATAGGGTGCTGGCAGATTACGGGCCTCCCATTGCTGCTGCCAGGCCCCTGTAATCTGTCAGGTCCAGGGCCCTGTCCCGCTGCCTCATGCCCACACTCTGCTGTGCCAGGTTCTCCCAATCTGGTCCATGTCATAGGGTCCCTGATACGGCCTCCCATTGCTGCTGCCAGGCCCGTAATGTCTGGGCCCCTGTGACGCCACACTGCTGCCATGTCATGGGTCCACGGCCTCCCAGGCTGTCTCCTCACCAACACTCTGCCATGTGCTGGTCTGGGTGGGTTCCATTTTGTCATAGGGTGCTGTATGGCCTCCCATTGCTGCTGCCTCCACCGCCACACTGTGGCTCCACACTCTGGTTTTGGCCCCGTGACTGCCCAAATAAGTGAAGTGTGCGGATTCTAAGATCGACGGCACTCATCTGCATGTCATACTGACTGACAGTATTATTTCTCTTCCCCAGCAGACTCCAAGGGCATTTAAAGGTACAGTGTTCTGCACTAATATAAAGGCTCTCTGAAGCCTAGAAACACCCTTTTTATAAGTTAAATTCGCAGCGAATATATTCGACTCGAATCAAATTTATTCAGCGAATTCACCGAATCAGCCGAATCGAATTTTTGAATACTTCGCTCATCTCTAATAACAAGTTGTCGTTAGGAGCATCTTCTTTAATTGACAGTCTGTGGGAGTCAGAATTATTGTTGGTTGGTAGCAGATCACATACATATTTTACTCACTGAACTGCAGTGAGTAATTTATAACCATTTGTATTGTGTTTTTTCTGAATTTTTGTTGATATTCTGTCTATCATTTAAAATACACCTATGATAAAAATTATAGACCCTTCATTTCTTTGTAAGTGGGCAGACTTACAAAATCTGCAGGGGATCAATTATTTTCCCCACTGTAAATGTAAAAGTGACCAAAATTTGCTAAAGGTGGCTATACACTAGTAGAATTTCATTCCAAATTGTTCTTTTAAGGACATTTGTTTTCTTTTCTAATCATTAGTGGGGTCAAATCAGTGTTCATTTTCGACCACAGTGATGAAGAAACTAAATCTAACAAATTTCTAACAGTAGATGCTGTAAATTACAATAATTCCGAAATCAAATGTTAAAAGCAAACACAATATTAAAGTACATTAGAACAACATTTGTCCAGTCATGGCATGTACAAAAATTTTTCATACAACTGTTTGTATGAATATTTGCATGAAAATCTCCTAGTGTATAACCAGCTTTAGGTCCCAAAGCAAAAGGTGGAATATTTTCATTGTGCAATCAATTACTGTATAACCACAGTATAGTTTACAAAAAAAAAGCCAACTTGCTGTGTGTCTGTAACCAATTATATTCATAGGTTTAAATGGAAAACTAGATGAATGATGTCAATATGAATGGTAAAACTGTCGAAAAGAATCTTTGAAATCTGCAACTGAAACACCATGAGGGGATTTCATCAAGTTGGAGAAGCTGTGTATGGCAACCAATCAGCTTATAGCTTCCATTTTCAAAGTTTAACACAAAGCAGAACTATAGGCAAAACTTGGTTTTCCCGTTTTGGATAGAGTAATGGAGGGTTATAACCCGTCAAATTTTTTTTTTTTCGCCATCTGTGTCCCATTGAGGAGATTTCCCTTCACTTCCTGTCCCATAGCCAAACAGGTGAGAGGAAATCCTTGCAAAATAAGGGAATTCCTTGGGGACCGTGAGGTCACCAGAACTAGTGTCTTCATTGGAAGATTTCCACTCTATTACTTTTATTGGGACAACTTAAAATTTGGGAATTTCTTCTACTTTCACTTTCATTAATAATGGTAAACAGGACAAATAGAGAGAGTTAATCTTCTTAACTAGTTGCCGACCGCAGATAGCCGAATGACAGCTGCACTGCGGCCGGCCAGTTCTGAGCGGACGTCATATGACGGCCTCCCAGAACGCGCTCTCCTGCGCGCCCCAGGGGGCGCGCACCCGGCGATCTCCATTATCGCTGTGCCCTACGGACACAGCTGATCACGTGATGTGGTAAAAGGCCAATCACAGCGGCCTTTTACCACGTGATCAGCGGTGTCCAATGACACGCTGATCAGAGGGAAATGCAAGTGCCGGTTCTCGGCTGCACTTTCCTCACACTGTCAGATCGTGAGGAACGTACTGCCAAGAACCGGCAGTTGTCAGAGCGGGGATCGGCACCGATCATCAGGGCATGATGATCAGTGCCCTGATGATCGGTGCCCAGCAGTGCCACCCGCAAGTTCCACCCACCTGTGCCCAGCAGTGCGCCCACTAGCTCCGCCCACCTGTGCCCAGCAGTGCACCCACCTGTGCCACTCTGCAGTGCCACACACCTGTGCCCAGCAGTGCCACCTACCTGTGCCCAGCAGTGCACCCACCTGTGCCACTCTGCAGTGTCACACACCTGTGCCCAGAAGTGCCACCTACCTGTGCCACCAGCAGTGCCACCCACCTGTGCCCCCCAGTGCCACCTACCAGTGCCCACCAGTGCCAGCCACCAGTGCCCACCCAGTCAGTGCCCCCAGGGGTTGTGCCAGTCAGTGCCACCAGTCAGTGCCCAGCAGTGGATGCCAGTCAGTGCCGTCTATCAGTACCCATCATCAGTGTCACCTATCGGTGCCGCCTATCAGTGCTGCATATTAGTGCCGCCTATCCGTGACACCTCATTAGTGCTGCGTATCAGTGCCCTTTAGTGCTGCCTATCAGTGCCGCCTATCAGTGCCCATCAGTGCTGCCTCATCAACGTACATCAGTGAAGGAGAAAAAATACCTGTTTGAAAAATTTTATAATAGAAACAAAGAAACTTTTTTTTTTTCAAATTTTTTGCAATTTTTTTATTTATAGCGCAAAAAGTAAAGTGCCCAGGAGCAATTAAATACCACCAAAAGAAAGCTATATTTGTGAGAAAAAAATAATCAAAATTTCATATGGGTACAATGTTGCATGACCGCGCAATTGTCAATCAAAGTGCGGCAGCGCTGAAAGCTGAAAATTGGCCTGGTAAATAAGGGGGTATAAGTGCCTGGTAGGCAAGTGGTTAATGGGGCATAGACAGCAATAAAACCTGACAGGTGTTCTAATCCCTCTACATTCTGTCCAAAACTTAAAAAAAAAAGTTCCACCTTTAGTTATATTTTAACAAGTTGAAGATAGAAGTTGATTGGTTAATATGCATGACTGCTCCAGATTCTGTCTCTTGTTTTCATAAATTTCCCCAATTTATTCCTTAAATATTAAAATGTGTAGGACCTGGAATTAATGAGATGGCAGCTGAAGTTATGCAAAGAGAAAGAGAAGAAAAAAGGTTGAAGGTAAGGTTATATGGTGAAAGGATCATATGTATAATAAATAAGTCAGACATATTAAATGAAATGATGGATCAACATCAAGGAACCAGAGTGGAGATCAAGAGCATGGCTATCATGTCATACTTCCCTTCCAGACCACTCAGTCCAATAATGTACCTCTGACCCCATTCCAGCAATCTTCACTGTGTGGCCATAGCTAAAGCCACACAGACTTTTCCAAAAAGAATTCTCACTGTGTTCTTTTCAATTTTCAATTTGAGCATGGATGCCATAACCCCAAACTGTCCTATAGGAAGAGCATGCTCTGCGGGACAGCTAAAGGATATCAAAAATACGGATCCCTATAGGAATGAATTGTACCAAGATATGCATATGCAGGATAAAAAGGATGTACCAGTGTGTTTTCTGAAGCAAGATTGTTCAGCCTTGGGCAGAGGGGGAGAGGTGCTCCGTAGTCAAAGCACCTCTTGTTCTAGTGCGACAACAGTGCTTCTCTGCAGATACAGTACATGGGGTGAGCATTTTCACCCTAGGACAGGAAGTTTGTTACTGCCAAAATTATCAAGTAAAAATAAAGAAAAGAATAATTGAAAAAAAGAAAACAAGTGCAATCTCTGATTTCTGAAATAAACCCCTATCTTACTCTGAGAATCCATGGAATACTCATATGTTATAAGTAACTGGCAGGAAAATGTCTAGTCTTCTATCCTTTGGTGAATGGTTTTGCAGCACTCCCTATGTCACATCCTTTGTGGGTGTGTGGGTGTACATTGTGCTATGAGCAACATGAGGTTGGCTATGGAGCTGGGCAGAAGCAGCAGTTGGAGACTGGCGGAAACAACCTATTGAAGGTACATAATCCTTCCCGAACTTCGAATTCTTCTGACATGGTTACATCGTATAAAGACCAATGGTTACCCTGTATGCTGCTGCCTTCTGGTGTTTGAACACAGGTAAAAACTTTTGGTTGGGCCATCACTAGTGTACCCATATAATCCTGATGAGTTTGTGAGGCTCCAGATTTTAGCAAGCAATAAGGAGTGACAAAGAAAGAGGGGAAGGACCTGACCTGTCCTGTACTTCAAGATAAGGAATTTACAAGTAAAACAAAATTGCTTTTTTTTTTCTAATCTCTGTGGTGCGGTGTGCACACTCGAAGCAAACACTAGGTGCAAAAAAAAGTGAGCACAAAAAGTGCACAGGGCATACACATGGTACTCCTCTGAAGAGAAAGAACCCTGTTTCTGCTCAGACAGGGCACAAGACTCAGGAATGGGACTGGGGCACTCATGGTCTGTCTGGTTAAAACCAGGTGGACCCTATGGGAAGGGGGAGAACCTGACCATAAAGGTCCTGTGTCCTCCCCCCACCCCAGAGACTTTCAGGGCAAGTTCGAGGACCTACATCCTACTAACGTAATGTAACATCCTACAAAGTGCTATACAATGGCTGGCCTGCCAGCTAGTATAAAAATTCCTCTGGTCCCAGCCAAAGGACCTAGCCTAGGAGACTGGTGTGAAAAAAGCATGCAAAGAGTGCTGTGACCAAGGTGTCATACTAAAAACAAGTGAACCTCCCCACGGTAATTTTTCTGCTACCCCAGGACAGCCATTCCAGGGGCTCCAAAATTCCTATTACTTTAAGCATAAAGTACAGGGCAGAGTATTTGAACTCATAGGCCATGGGATGTACCAAAGCAAAAAAAATAATAAAACGCAATGGATGGGCAACAATATAACATAGTACTGCCAACAGGCCAACGAGCAAACCAAAAGGTTTTAAAAACCTAAACAAAAACACTCAGATAACAGCTTGAAGCACTTTGCGGCCAAAGCTCACATAAGCTGAGGCCTAAACGTCCACCTGGTAGAAAATGTGTGAACCTTACAATAATGATATATAATAATAATAATATATAATGTGGCACTCTTATAAATCTGGGCTACAGGTTCTTGATGCTGAAAATCCCAGGGAGACACCAATAGCCCTGGTGGAAAGGGCCGTGAAGGGAAAAATGAAGGACCTTTTTCTTAAGGGGTAACTCTACTTTTGTGAAGGGAAAAAAAAAAAATTATATATACATATACACACACACATACATACAGTTGTGTTCAAAATAATAGCAGTGTGTTGAAAAAAGTGAATAAAGCTCAAACTCCTTCTAATAGCTTTTTTTTTTCCATACACACAAATGCATTGGGAACACTACACATTCTATTCCAAATCAAAACATGAGAGATATATCAAATTTGTGTTGTTCCTCTAAACAAATTGAAGAAAAGTGATTAGACTGTTCAAAAAAATAACAGTGTTTGTATTCTTCTTTACAAATTCAAACATTCACTATATTAACTGAAAAATGTTTGAAGATTTTGCTTTCCTTTGAATCACTTAATATTTAGTTGTATAAGCACTGTTTCTGAGAACTGCTGTACATCTGTGTTGCATGGAGTCAAACAACTTCTGGCACCTGTGAACAGGTATTCCAGCCCAGGATGATTGGACTACATTCCACAGTTCTTCTCTATTTCTTGGTTTTGCCTCAGAAACTGCATTTTTTATGTCACCCCACAAGTTTTTCTATTGGATTAAGATCTGGGGATTGGGCTGGCCACTCCATAACGTCAATCTTGTTGGTCTGGAACCAAGATGTTGCACGTTTACTGGTGTGTTTGGGGTCGTTGTCTTGTTGGAACACCCATTTCAAGGGAATTTCCTCTTCAGCATAAGGCAGCATGACCTCTTCAAGTATTCTGATGTATTCAAACTGATCCATGATCCCTGATATGCGATAAATAGGCCCAACACCGTAGTATGAGAAACATCCCCATATCATGATGCTTGCGCAACCATGCTTCACTGTCTTCACAGTGTACTGTGGCTTGAATTCAGTGTTTGGGGGTCGTCTGACAAACTGTCTCCGGCCACTAGACCCAAAAAGAACAATTTTACTTCATCAGTCCACAAAATGTTGCACCATTTCTCTTTAGGCCAGTCAACGTGCTCTTTAGCAAATTGTAACCTCTTCAGCACATGTCTTTTTTTCAACAGTGGGACTTTGCGGGGGCTTCTTGCAGATAGCTTGGCTTTACATAAGCGTCTTCTAATTGTAACAGTACTCACAGGTAACTTTAGACCTTTGAACTTCCTGGAGCTGATTGTTGGCTGAGTCCTTGCCATTTTGGCTATTCTTCTATCCATTCGAATGGTAGTTTTTCGCTTTCTTCTACGTCTTTCAGGTTTTGGTTGCCATTTTAAAGCATTTGCGATCATTTTAGCTGAGCAGCCTATCATTTTCTGCACTTCAGAAGAACAGGTACGCTGTTCTTCTGAACAATGTCTGGAACGACCCATTTTCCTCAGAATTTCAGAGAGAAATGCACTGTAACCAGCATGTACAACATTTGCTGCCTTCCTTCCTTAAATAAGGGCAATAATTGCCACCTGTTTTTCAAAGAATGAATGACCTCACTAATAGAACTCCACACTGCTATTATTTTGAACATGCCCCTTTCAATTAGTGATTCAATTACACAGAATTAGCAGCATGCATGTCATGACTGTTGGGTCTGTTGGATTTCTATTACTCTACTACACCTGCTAGTAAATTATTTGCCATGTAGAAATATCATTTCTACCAAAAACAGTGATTGATCAGGTTAGTGATGTCTGACTGCTATTATTTTGAACACAACTGTATATATATATATATATATATATATATATATATATATATTTTTTTTTTTTTTTTTATTTATTTACACACACAATTGCTATATTGTAATTTAATGTTAATAAAAATGACCTTTCATTTTAAAGCTGCAGCTGTTTTAATCATAAATCCAATGCAATATGGCAACCTAGAGGAGTTTTATACATAGCTGGTGTACCGAACGCCCCCAGAAATGTCATTTTCTACTTGTATGAGGAACTCTGCACTAGGACGCACACTCGTCCCTCTTACCTTTCCTGGCCTGCCAGGTTGCATGCTCGGATAAGGGTCTGGTATGAACTCTGGGGGACCTCAAGCCATTTTTTGTTGTTGTTATCTCTGGCATGAGGGCCCCCCCAAAACATATACTAGACCAAAAGGGCTTGGTACAAATTGTAGGGAGGACCTTATGACTATTTTTTCTTTGTATTGTTAGCTCTTTTGATTACATGCTGTTGTCAGCAGGGATGAGTCATGGTTGTTAGGACACT